GCCGCGAAATGAATTGCATTCTTCGCGGCAGAGTGTACACCGACTCGCAAATTATGGGCGCAGATTTTGTTAAATTAATGATATAAACGTTTCGATGAATATTTTAATTGGGCAATGGGAAATGACTATTTTATAAACTAAATTTACACTCTCTGAGTACGTGAATTATATGTACAATGTTGTAGCCTAATAGATAAAGCGCTTAGACTATTAATGGCGAGTGATGCGGCTATGCCAGAATTCAAAACAGCCAGTTTGGTTAAACAATTTTTTTAAATTACAAATATCTTAACATGTATTACAAAATTTAGCGAAGCCCGTAGTAATTCAGAAATTTCCTACCTAATTTTTGGTATTTTTTATTACTTAGATGGACGGACAAGCTCGCGGCCCACCTAGTGTTAAGTGGTTACTGGAGCCCATAGATATCTTCAACATAAATGTGCCACCCACCTCGAGATATACGTTCTAAGGTCTCAAAGACAGTTACAAAAAAAAAAAAAAAAGCGATCAGTCTGGCTGTTTCTGCTGCAAATAAGCAAAGCATTCTGATTTAAAGAATGGTCAAAACGCGGTACTATAGAACTGAGACCTAAAACTCATATCTCAAATGTGGGGGTTGTTTACGCTGCTTATGCTTTGGAGGTATACGACAAAGGGAAGATCTTCCACCGACCGGGTGATATTACTGGATCGACGGTCCGAATATTGTTGTTCGGGACTTGTATGTATGCAGGTTTGTCTTGAAAATGTCGTAAGCGAGATTCAGGCATCTGTCAAATATTTTGTGTTACATGATGGCTACCGTCACAATGCCTATGGACTCCAGTAACTAGTTAACACTAAGTGGACACTGCCCGTCTAAGTAATAAAACAAATAATAGTTTAAAAAAACTATAAAAATACGCTTTTATAGAAAATTCCACTAAGAAATAGAAAATAAATTTGAATTAAAATAGTGTAAGAAAAAAATATTTTTAGTTGGATTTACTATAAAAGCGTATTTTTTTAAACTAATATTTATTTTTCATATTTTAGTTGAATTTCAATTATTTAAATTTTTCAAAAATTTCGTCTGAATCTGTCGCTAACTTATCCGAGAAATAGGTGGTAGTTTCCCTTCTTGGTCTTGATGCAGATAGTCCGGGTCTCAGGAAAATAAAAAATAATTGCTAATCCTGATTATCCTTGTAAGGATAACGGATCAAACTGTTTAAAATATTGAATTGTCATCGGTCCTTAATAAGTATGCCAAATTTCGAGTTAATCCGACGTTTTGAAAGGTCAAAATCATGTTGGTTTTTTTTTGCTTAGATGGGTGGACAAGATGGTGTTAAGTGGTTACTGGAGCCCAAATACACCTACATCATAAATGCGCCACCCACCTTGAGATATGAGTTCTAAGGTCTCAGTTATAACGGCTGCCCTACCCTTCAAACCGAAACGCATTACTGCTTCGCGGCAGAAATGGGCAGGGTGATGATACCTACCCGCGCGAACTCACAAGAGGTCCTACCACCAGTCCGTTACATACTAACATACGTATGAATCTAATAAAAGCGTATTAATAAAATCAATTCTAGATTATCTGAAAGTCTTTAATTCGTGATGTCTATAGATTACAGTAGCAGCCACGAATTCATCCGCCGATATAAACAAATAAGAAATATTATAATGATATCTGTATATCTCATGAATATCCGCGCGCTTACAGTCTTTAGAGCGTCGTCGAAATTGCAGCCGGAGGCGGAGAAGCCAACAAAGCGATTTGTCAGTAACGCTGAGAACAGTGTTAGAGAAAATTGCCCTCGTTTACGTGTGCGCGTAGTCTTTGGATTTGAGAATATAATCATGTTATACGAGCTTTTTATTACCATAGATTAGCTGGCGAACCCACGCCTACCTAATCGATCTTCTAAATGCTATTTGTATTGACTAGCTTAATAATGCAATGCAAGGGAATGTTTCGCGGCAGAAATGGGCAAATTGAAAATCTAAAAATCCGTGTTCCCAATGTTGAAAAGTCTTAATTACATTGTGACATCGTCTGTCTTCTCTTCAAAACAGATCGCGGCAGAAATAGGCAAATTGGCAATGTAAAAAATGATGTTGAAAGTTGAAGTGCTAATTTTATTTTAATATGTTTGAAATTGTAAAATTAATAACGCGGTAGAATAATGGTATTTCAGCGTATGGGCATATAATCATTCTAGTAATTCCACAAATATTAATTAAATACATTAAATGATATTAATAAAACTAGACATATTATTAGGATATAGAATTATTTTTACATAAACTAATGTTGCCAAATGAATTTGATAAAAACATTCATCATAATGAGCTAGGAAAGGCCCGCGGATTTTCCATCTAAATGAATTAATTTATTCAGAATGCTGTTTATTAACGTTGACGGGACGCTTTTGGTGCTTCTTTTGTCTGTCCGTGTGCTTGTGAATTATAGCCGAGAGTGCCCCTTTAGGCGTATAAATCAAAATCTTAGCGAGATTATTAATATTTGTTGAACGAATATGAAGATTATATTTGCTGGATTCGTGAAATAATATTAGAATAGTGAAGTTTTATACGCACCCATATTAGTGTTGAAGCCAAAAAGTTTAAATAAAATGGTGGTATCTCAAACACCGGTCACCGTCCTCGCCGAACCCGTCGCTTGCGACGAAGGGCTCGACGAGTAAATTGACTCATAGACACAGTCCACAGAGTCTCTCGCCGGATCTTCTCAGTAGGTCGCGTTTCCGATCCGGTGGTAGATTCTGTGATGCACTGCTCTTGCTAGGGCCAGTGTTAGCAACACTCCTGGTTTGAGCCCCGTGAGCTCATCTACACGTCAAGGAGAAGCTGAAATAGCCTCTCAAGGCATGAGCATAAGTGGAGAAAAATAAATAATGGTGGTTTGAAATGGTACGCATAAGCCTCTACATAGCCTCTTTGTACATTTTTTAGTATTCAAATAATATATCAAATAAATTCGAATTGTTTCAAAAACCATTCTATAGTCTATAGCCAATCAAAGAGAAGCTTTTATATTAATTGCGATAAAAACATTAAAAATTAGAACCCTTTCAAAAAAGTTATTGCTATTGTTGTATTTGAAGACGGGCTCGACAGAAGTTACGAAGCGTATAGCCACCACTATGTAATTCCGCAAACACTGAGTCATGAAATCTAAATCATGATGGTATGCTATAAAGGATTTTTCATTCTTCGAACCGAAAACAATGACTGCTACGCGGCAGAAATAGGCGGATTAGTGGCACCTATCCTAAGAATCCTAAGATGCTCATAATACGCCCAAAACTTTAAATAAATTAAGAATTTCACGATTTTTTAAAATACAAACACTACGTGTGTGTGAAAGAACGGTTTCCTAACATTAAATATAAAAAACTCAACCTATTTCAATATGAAGATTAATTTCATTTTTTAATCTAGCAACACTATTAAATGACTTCAATTTACAAGCGGAAACTGTCTGGCGGCGTCCCGTTTAATATTTAGTTGTGACTGTACAGCGCGACAGCTCTATTCGTATTGTACGCGACTGTACAGATGATACTAAAATTAAAAACTTTGTTCGTTCGCTAGACAACTTACGTTGTTAATGCAATGAAAACAAGGTCGACAATTGCTTAATAAGATTTGATCGTTTTGTGACATCGTTGTTATTAAATTATAGATGTTTTTTTAGAAATAGTTTTCGAACTCATTGCCTAAGTTGTTTGGGCTATTTGAGGTCTATTCAGTCCCATAGGCATAGCTCACTGAAGTTCTCGACAGATCTTCTCAGTGAATCGTTATACAGACAGTAGATACTGCAAAGCAATACTCTTGCTAGGGCTGGTATTGACAAATTCCGTTTGCGCGAAACTGGAATAGCCCCTTAGAATACCAGCCAATTTACTGGTGGTAGGTCCTCTTGTGAGTCCGCGTGGGTAGGTATCACCACACTTCTGCCGTGAAGCAGTAATGCGTTTCGGTTTGAAGGATGGGGCAGCCGTTGTAACTATACTTGAGACCTTAGAACTTATATCTCAAGGCGCGTTTACGTTGTAGATGTCTATGGGTTCCAGCAACCACTTAAAACCAGGTGGGCTGTGAGCTCGTCCACCCATCTAAGCAATAAAAAAAGGTAGGAAAAAAAGATATAGAGACGTCTTCAAGTACAAAAAGCGAGTTAATTGTTAACATGTGTATTCCTACGACATCATATTGTATCATTGAAAGGTGAAAACAAAATAAAAGGCTTTCATAAAAATGTATTTTTTTATTGTTATGTTTTATTGTGCTCTTCATATATAATTTATAAAAAAAAACGGAACATAAGTGAGTGATACATACAGACAGTATCAGTGAACGAAACAAAAAATAAATAAGATACTTAATTAAATAAAAATAAAAATTAACTAAGTAACAACATAGTGTTCCCCAGGAAGAAAGACAGTCATACATTTCCATGAGCGATTTACATAATACATTTTATTAACAATTTCATTCGTCATACAGAATTATTTAAAAAAACATTGTATCTTGTCAGTGGTCAATAAATAAAGTAGCTTAATATATAAAAAAAACATTGCTAATTCGCGTTATTTTCCTATACATTGCGCGTCACGCGAGGCCCTTGACCCCATGCGTCATATGCTTTTAATTGTCTTACGTTGCGTGTTGGAAAATGTCCAAAAATTTCATATTCGAGAACGGTTCTTTTAAGCCACATGTTTAAATGTATTAAAGACGGGAGAATACATAGTATAACTTATTTTGCAACAACAACCCACTATTCAGACGTAACAATCAGTACGCAAGGCCAGACGCGTTTGGTTCCCCAGGGGGAGGGTGATGGGAGAGATGTGCTCCGCACTAAACGGTTCACTCTCCCCCTTTTGCCTTTTCATGAGTTCTGTCTCATGCGAGGTTCGGACGTGGGTTGTTGAGCGACAGGAGGTTTTAGTCGGTTCGACTCCGACATACCCCACAATACAATATCATAAATAATTCATCATTAAAAATTTAATTAGTGAAATCATTCAAAAAAGATAATAATAACCAGTAAATACAAAAGAAAAGCCTTTGATTACTGATGCTTGAATTTTTACGGGGAATCCCCGAGGTTCTGCCTACATATTCCCTAGCGCGCATCGATGCGTTGCCACAACAACTTAGCGCTGGTTTTTAGTCAGTTGAATCCTCTTGCAAGTCTCTGCCAAAATGATCTTAGGCTCAGCAATGGAACTAAAACGGAAATTGTCTATCGCCTTAAAAGGTCAGTGTGATTTTTTTCGTATTAATTACACTTGATATGATTACAAAATTCAATCTTAAAGTATAATTTATTTAACTAAGTTTTTGTACAGTATCTACATTCCGTGGAAACAACTTATCGATAAACATAGCTTAGAAATTTACAAAAAAAAAAAGTATTTATTTCGAATCACATTGTGAAATCTTGTAATTTTAGGACTAGCTCGAATTAACTTACTAGGACGAAACTTCTAAGCCTACGAAATATGGTCACGATTGGTTTGTACAAAAAAAAAAACATATTTTAACACTAAAAATAATATTATAATTTATAGTAATGACACTAGTATCTATTCAGGGACTAGCCTACGAAGCGATATTTTACAGAAGTGGAAGTCCCTACTCGATTACTTTAGTAAAAATCAGAAACAACAGGTTTTTTAAGTCACATTATTATCGAAGAAGGCATGAAAAGAATAGGCCATCCAATTTAGGCCCTCGTTAAGGAATCTACGGTATTAAAAATTACGTTAATTCCCGCAAATATCATCATTATTCATCACTTGATCAGTTGATCGTAATTCAGACCGTGAGCGATTAAAGTCTTAAAGCATATTGTGCTCATGACATAGGCATTTCTGCTGACAACCTATGACGAGAAGACGCCCTGGTCCCACAAGTTCCACACGTATTGTTGCTGTATCCCGAATCTGAGCCGAAAGAAGAATCGCCGCTAGGAGGTTTCGGTGAAGCTCTCGGTCCTCTCCAGCATTGGATCCCGGGTAATTCACCGCCAGGCCATGCGCCACCCGCACCGACGGGCACGGGGCCTGGTCTAGCGCCAACAGTGCCAACTTGAGGGTACAACCGAAGCAACGCATCCAAAAGCACGCCTTCATGGAATTCTGAAGGATCTGGCGGGTGCATGTGTCGAGGGATCCGATGTTGTGCTCTCCTTCTTTCTAGAGATTTGGGTCTACGGTCTAGTCGTTGATGTCTCGGTCTATGCTGTAAAGACTGTGGCGCTGGAGGTCTGGAGCAAGTTCGACAAGGCGCCGCTTCACCGACTAAGCTCAGTTCGTCTTCTGCGAAGTGATCGTCGCTGTGTACGGAGTCATCAGACCGGTGTGGTAGTTCTTCGTAAAGAGGAGCTCCACAGGTCTCGCCGCCGCACGAGTTCCCACCTCGCCAAGTGTTGCCTGAACCGCAGACGAAAACGCGGCCAGGACAGTTTGGTCTCCTTGTTTCCACCATCTGCAAGGATACCAAAAAAATGCCTTTAATTATATAGAATTTGATTTTGAAATACTTCATGTGCCAAACTAACTAGATTCAAACTAAATTTCTTAAGTACACTACTTTCTTAATTAGTGCAGATATTATCTTATGTCGAAATCAAATAAAATTTTGAACTGAGAGGATAATCAAAAAACGATTAATTAAAATCAAAATATTAAGTAATTCAAACACCGTCAACCATCTGGCACTTCGTTACAAACTTACAATTATTAAAACGATGAACATTTTAAACTCAATTATAATGTCAAAAGTAATATCAAGTCTAGACATGACGCACTTTGAGAACAAAAGTTTTGACGGTTCACTAATTGGCTTTTGACAATTTGGCATAAAATAACAAAATTAAAGTAATACTTGCTAGGAAATTTGGGCATTGAAACTTTGAAGAGTAAACTTGTCGACTAAAATACCGTATTGTCTTCGAAACAAACTGCTGCCTTTGAAAATTATACTCTTGAGTAATCTTTTTAAGAAACCGGGCCTGTTATTATGACGGACTTATTCAAGCTTACTAGCAAACGTAAGTACAAAATAGTAATAAAGATTAACAAAAATACTCTGTCGCACAGTGGTAGTAGGTTAATGTTATTACTATCTTAAAAATCACATAAATCGGTGATCTATTAATATCATATCCAAATAAAAACTATGCGACGAAATTCCAGAATATTGGTAAGGATTTGTTTAAAAAAATGTAGATAAAATTAATCAGCTGAATTTGAGATTCCAAAATTGTGTTTTAGCATTATTTCATGTGGTTTCTAATACATTAAACCAAGATGAAAACAAACAGTAGATTTGACGTATGACTCATATCAAATATTTCATCATTTTTATTAGCATTTTGTTGGCACTAACAGACTATATCAGCCTATCATGATTAAAATTTTGACGGTTACCATGAATCACGAGACAAAAGCCTTAACTATCTGGACTATTAGCTAACTTATTATTTAAAATGGAATAAAGGACTGCAGTTCCGAGCAAATAAGCAAAATGGTGATATGATAGAATACGTCCTATAACCAACTCTACAGTCCTTATAACAAGCCATAGATAGCCATCACTGAGCCATCACTGTATTGTCCACAGTGTGGTTTTATCAATAAATATAGACAGCACTCGTAAGGTAGAAATTCAGCTAGAAACATTTGGTGCAAATATTATGATGTTTGGCGTATTTTAGTCACTATGGTTACAGTGAATGTTTACCATTCCAACTTTTATCTCAAGAGTGTCAGAACGATAGCTTCGTTGCCAATTCTTGATGAGAGTCTTGGATTTGGAAAATTTCTTCGATCGGCTTAACAATCATACAAATATTTCTTACCTCCAACTGCGGTTCCAATTCTTGAGGTCTATGGGGCAGAGGTGGCCTTCTAGGGAGATCTTGTAAGTCTTCGTATAGCGGCGCCGGCGGTGGGGCCCGTCTCTGTGACCCTGAGCTCTGACTGGGCGCTGATGATTTCGAAGGCAATAAGTTTGTAACTTTTCGTTTGTGCCTAAAAAGAAAATATACATATTTTAATAATGCTTCAGGGCTTCAAGACAAAGGCCAATGGAATACATCTTGGCGTGAGAACTAGATGTAGAATTTCTTTGATATACTTATAACTATAAACTCGTAAGCAGGACCAGTAATTAAGGAACAATGCTTTATAAAATCAACTTGCAAAGTTTTTAAGTACCGTATAAATATTTTTGTAAAATAGCATCATTAATCACAAAACGATTCCAAAGCTAATGTTTTAAAGACGTCAATCTCTTGCGTCATAGGAATTTCTCGCTATCTCTCTCGCACGTGAGTTCGTCAACGGTAGTGACGTCAATAGTAAAATGAGTTACTGTTATTTAAGCCGTAGCAGATCTGTAAGGTTCCCAAGTTACACATTTCGGATCGTACATATTTATATATTTTAGGCTAGTAATACTACATTATGTTTCACTATGATTATCAATGATTGCATGAAAAACGTCTAAATCTAGAAACTGCTCAGGCATCAATTATAATTGATGATACTATGACAAAAGCACTGTAGAACCAATAGTCGTACCAAGTTTGATCAAAATCTAAAATAATTATTTTTAGTTAAATATTTATTAACGAAACGCTTAGTTAACAAAACATTCAATTTTTATTTATAGATAAGGTGTTGGTGAATTTATAAAGAGAAATACGAAAACATTCCTAGTATTATTATCGCGTCGCGGCATCTTATAAAAAATGAATCTCCTACAGCGAAAACAAAAGTAAGCCCTAAGCAAACACATTACAGTAAAAACCATATTTACGCTAAAGCCCTCAATCTTTGTTATTTTTTATTACCGAGGTAAAGCTATAAAAGTCCTCTATTAATAAAATTCGAAAGTCCAATATCATATTTTTTGGGCGAAAGTACTCGTATTACGGTTTTATTCTGTAGCTGTTTTTAATAACCGTAAGGAAAGCGTGGATAAGACGTTTTAAAATTAGATTTCGAGCGGAGATTTGCCATGAGAAATGTTATTTGGTTCGTTACAACAATATCTTTTTATTATAATATCTATTTCATAGAAAGATATCTTTACTTTTTCATGAATTAAAATATCATGTTACGAATAGCGATAATGCTGTAATTAAAATGCGCAAAATTAAGTCTAGCCTAATTAACTCGATCGAATTAAAAAAGGTAAATTGATTTAGTGAAGTCGTATCGATTACCATGGATCGCGGATTTTTTTATTACTATGCCACAAATCGGAGAGGCTGCTTTGTGAGTATTATAGAAGGGGGTTTCTGCTAAAAGGCTGCACGGACTATTGGCTTTGAATTTTTTATATTAGCTAGAGTTCAGTCACACATCCGACTCAGGAGAGTAAAGCAAAGCCGCCGTCTCTTGAAATATGTCTTTTTGGATCCCACGGATCTACTCTCAATGTCTTAAGGCTCTTCAAGCACCGGTCCTCGTACTCCCACAGCTCGTCGATGATGAACGATCGGATCTTCTTAGCGGGCCGTGAATCCGATCCGGTAGTAGATTGTGCAAAGTATTGCTCTTGCTAGGGTCAGTGTTAACACGTTCTCTCAGCTTGAACCCCGTGAGCTTACCTACCAGTGGCGCCGTAGCTAGAGTTGTCCCTTACGCTACCAGCGAATGGATAGGAAAATAATTCAGTGAGTTGATAGTGGCTCAGTTGTCACTGTATATATAATGCACTGTGACGTCAGTGTGCAAATCGACGTTGAATTTGTAATGACTTAGTCTAAATAATGCATTGCTAATTTAGGATTAATTAGCACAGAGACATCCACAATATTCTTTCCCCGAACATAATAGCTTTTACGTCCGCGATCCCTTTCAATTACGACAAAAGAAGCGGTAGTTATTATAAACACATTAGACACGCTAATATTGATGCATTGAAGCAGATGTGCCGGTACTTAGACAAATTCGATGGTACTTTAAGATTTTATTTGTTTGGGTTTTTTTATAATAAAATGAGTAGTAAAAAGCTTTTGGGCGAATTAAAAAAAATGGAAGCAGTTCTGAATTTGACTCTACTGTTTTGTAGGTTTTCCTGAACTCTTTTTTTATAGGTGAAGAATCGAATTTTAAGATTACTTCTTTCTTTTATTTGAAAACTGGTGATTCTCATTTGGTCTCATTAATTTCTTATTAAATCTAACTAGTGGAATTCGAGTTATCCTTAATAAGGCATATTTGATTCCGTTGTAACTAATGTTCTTTTGGTTGTAACTTATGGGATTTGAACTTATTGGACGAGCTCACAGCCCACCTGGTGTTAAGTGGTTACTGGAGCCCATAGAATCTAGAACTTAAATGCCGCCACCCACCATGAGATATGAGTTCTAAAGTCTCAGTATAGTTACAACGGCTGCCCCACCCTTCAAACCGAAACGCATTACTGCTTCACGGCAGAAATAGGCAGGGTGGTAGTACCTACCCGTGCGGAGGTCCTACCACCAGTAGCGATGTAGTAGTTTGTGATGTACCGACTAAGTCTTAATTGTATTAATGGAGACTTTGATATCGTGAAAATCGATAAATATAAATCGGTCGCAAATTACGTAAGTCTACCGGAAAATTTTGTTTTTTTTTAAATAAACAAGTCTTCGGTTTTCATTGCAATTTCGTACCCTAATTCATATGCAATAAGAGTGGTTTATTCCCCTACTCTCAAACAAAGACTCTTACAAGGTTTCATGCCCCCATTGATAGTCCGCCATAATTTGTTCATGTGCATGCTGGCGACATCCGAACATGAAAGAGATGCGACAAGAACAGACATCGAACAGACGACCCGACCACCCACTGGCTGTTTAACCTCGCCGCTAAGTGCTCACAGTCGGCTGGTTACGGATTGGCCATTGAGCTTAATATATTTAAATTCGTAATCTTTGATTTTGCTTCGAACTAAAGATTTAGAACATAATTTTTAAAAGTATGTTAATGGTAAATTTGGATTTAATTAAATGCATGTTATAATAATACTTTGAATTGTAAACTTTTTTTGAAAAATATATCAGAAATTAGTTTTCAATATTAAATGTCCGGCAGTGGACGTCTGTTGTGTGATAGTATACTCGCAGAATAGAAAAAAAAATATATATCACAATATTATTTTCAAAATGGAATATTATTTTTAAATAATCTTATGGATCCTTTCATTGATAAAGATTACAAATATTTTTTTATCTATGCTATCATAGCTTCCAATAATAAATAATAAAATTGTAGGTCCGGCCAATTTCCTACAATCTAACTGTGTGACGGCAACGAAAGCCTAGTTCCACGTTTTTATGTCCACCCTTATCTGTTATCTCATTTTTAAAGATAAATACATTTTTATCTGTCAATGAAAAGTAAAAGATCAACTTTATGACAATATGCTTAAGGGTTAATTTCGAATTTTTCACGACCGAGACAATAAGACCTTTGGTTTTGGTGCTGCTACGAAAAAGTTTTCGTTCCTTGTCGATAAAAGTAATAAGATAAATCAAGTTAATACGCACGGACAGTAACCACATAACTTTCTTTGTAAATAATAATTCGATTTCGTGTCTCGATTGTGGGGTTATCGATAAAATTTCACTGAAAGGCATTTTGTATATTGTATCGATTCTGTTCGAATTCAGCATTATCTCAGATCTAATTATTTATTTTATTGGTTTCTGATATGAATTATAATACGCGCTCTTTATTATTTATGTCTACTATATAGACAGAAATATATAGAAATAAATCGTTTTAGAATGACGCTCTTTGTCAAATTTCCTTCAGACCAATAAATGTGTAGAGTTGGCATTAAAACTAACCGTAGATACGATGTATTTTTGTTCGATTTTGATTAGACTGTAAGTATAAATAGGCGGAGATTGTTTAGTCGTTGTGGGCTTACGATGAACTTTGAAGGGGGTAACCGTTACTGATGGTAGGTTGTCTTGCGAGCTCGCGTGGGTAAATACCACCAGGGCCGCCAATACCTGTTTCGTCACCCGCATGCAATACCGATTATGTCACCCGACGACTACTTGTTCTGAGTTTAGTCAAAAAAAGGATAATTAATGTGGTCCGTAAGTTCAAAGACGCTCAGCGTGCTATGGAAAGGTGTATGCTCTGAGTTTCTTTGATGGATCGAGTCAGAAATGAGGAAATCCGTCAAAGAACCAAAGTGACCGATATAGTCGTAAAGATAAGCAAGCTGAAATGGCAATGGGCCGGACATAAATGTGGCAGAACCGATGGCCGAGGGAGTAGACGCGTTCTGGACTCGAGACCACGTACCAGTAAGCACAGCGTTGGACGTCTCACTGCATGGTGGACCGATGACTTGGGACTATGGGAGAGGCCTCCTTCCAGCAGTGGAGGGATGCAGGCTGATGATGAATGTTGTCACATAAAGGTGTGGAAAAGAAAAACAATGAAGATAAAACAATGACTTGAATTTCGGGATGAGTCGCTTGATTTGCCGCCCGTGTGTGGTTTACCCTTTTGCACGTCCGCTTACGGCAGCCCTGCGTACCACCGATCTATGTTTGTGACCATTTTAAGGTCTGAAGTCACTTGATAGTTTCGAGAGAAATAAAACTGAATTTAAAACAAGCGTCCAGTCAAATCGTCTAAGACAACACGTTTTGTCGATGAAGCCACGACGGGCGCGCGGTGTCAGATTACTCGTTATCCCACAATTATTGATCCATCATTAATCTAGCGTGACGTGTTATGAGATTGATTGGCGTTTGTCAACAACGGAATCGACGGGCCGGGCATAATGACGCGTGATTCGGTGTCGCGTTAAGAAATACGTGTCGGATCTGTCACGTTTTTATGAGTTCGAAAAAATTCGATGGTAGTGTTTTTTTTAAAGAGCCGTGTCTGAAATTTTAATTGGTCTAAGATCGTGTTTGAGTTTTTGTTAGTATAGATTTTTGTCTTTTTTATTAATTTTTTGTCGAACATGTACTCATTTAAAGAACTACACACACTAGTATATTATTATG